GTCAGGCATCTGCAGGCCTATCAGGGTGGAAACCATGGGATGCCCCTCCACTCTCGGCTTAAGAACATAAGAGCTGCCAACCAGGATCAGATCCTGGTCCATCTAGCCCAGTGTCCTGCCTCCCAACAGTGGCCTGTACCAGAGCTTCAGGGGGAGCGTACAGAACAGCGCGATTTTTGAGAGAACCCACTTACACTTTTGGCCATCACAAGAACCCATGGCAACAAGTTCCACGGGTTAATTGGGTGTTATATGAAGAAATACTTCCTCTTGTTTGTATTTCATAGACTTGCTCTCTATTAATTTCATCAGGTGACCCCTGGTTTTGTATTGTGGGAAAGGGCAAATAACATTTCTCTGTTCACTTTCTCCACACCAGGCATGATTTTCTAGACCTCTATCGTATCCCCCTTTAGTCATCTCTTTTCTAAGCTGAACAGCCTCTCCACGTATGGATCATCTCTGTTGCCCTTCTCCGAACCTTTTCCAGTTCTACTAGACTGTTTTTAAGATGGGGTGACCGGAACTGGACACAGTATTCAAGGTGTGGGAGTACTACAAATTTTATATAGTGGCACTAGGATATTTTCAGTCTTATTTTCTATCGCTTCCTAACATTGTTGGCCTTTTATACCGCTCCTGTGCATTGAGCTGAAGTTTTCAGAGAACTATCCACGTGGACTACAAGATCTCTTATCGCCTGCAAACTCTGCCACTTCACTGCTCACTCTTTTATCCAGATCATTAGTGAATATGTTGAACAGCACTGATCCCAGTACAGATACATAGGGGACTGCATTGCTCACTGCTCTCCATTGTGAAAACTGACCATTTATTCATACTCTTTGTTTCCTGTCTTTTAACCAGTTACTGATCCATATCAGGGGACGTCCTCTTATCCCATCACTGCTCAGTTTAAGAGCCTTTGGTGAGGGATCACATCAAAGGCTTTCTGAAAATCCAAGTACACTCTAGCCCTGGAAAACCCTTCTCTACATGCTTGTTCACCCCCTCAGAGAACTCGGACAGGCGGGTGAGGCAGGATTTCCCTTTACAAAAGCCCTGCTGACTCTTCCCCAACAAATCATGTTCATCTCTGTCTCTGATAATTCTTTTCTTTACTACACTTTCAAGCAACGTGTCCAGTAGGCTCACCAGCCTGTAATTGCCGGGATCACCTCTGGAGCCCTTTTTAGAAAATCAGAGTCACATTAGCTACCCTCCAGTCACATGGTCCAGCAGCTGATTTAAGTGACAGATTTCATACCACAGATAAGAGTTCTGCAATTTCACATTTGAGTTCCTGCAGAACCCTTGGGTGATACCATCTGCTCCTGGAGACTTATTACTATTTAATTTATCAATTTGTACTAAAACATTCTATTGACACTGCCTGTTTGGCAGGCTTCCTGCTTCTCATGTACTTTAAACAATCCTCACTGGTAGTTTCTGCATCTTTGGCATGTTGTTTCTCTAATTCTTTCTTGGCCTGCCTTATTACACTTTTATACTTAACCTGCCAGAGTTTGCTTTCCTTCCTGTTAGCCTCACTCTGACTTCCAGAGTTGAAAGGATGCCTTTTTACCTCTAATGGCCTCTACTATTCGGCCGTTAAGCCATGGTGGAATTCTTCTGGTCCTCTCATTGTCTTTTCTCCTTTGGGGTACCCATTACTACGGAGGCTAGCAGGCTCCCTGCGCTCATTCAGCGCTAACCCGGTCAAGAGCGGGGGGGGAGCTTAACAAGGGAAAAGTGTGAACAGGAAGAAGACAGCTGTACACAGAGACTGCTGACCACAGAGACAGATCAGCCAAGAGAGACACAGTCGCAGGCCTCACCACCCCTCAAGTGAACGGACCAGCTGTAAGGTAGGGTGCCCCCAAGAGGAGGGGCTGAAGGTAGACCCCAATTAAAGACACTCTACCAGCTGAGAAGCCAAGCCCCAAAAGGGCAAACCCAAAAGACTGCCAAAGAGAGATCACCACTGCCTTTGGTTTTCCTCTGATTCCCCTCTCTCTCCCGGGAGGGGCAGAGAAACAGACCCTTGTTTGTTTGGAAAACCCCTTGTGTGGTACAAACAGGGGCGGGACATAATAAACAACTTGCATCGGGGTCTAGTGGGGACTCGGGAGCCCTGCACCTCGCGACTGCTCCTTTTAATTTCCGGTCTAACAAGATGGGGAGCACGGGGGGCCAGGGCGGTGTGGCACAATGCCACCGACAGCCCGTCTGCCCACCCACCGACCTCCAGGGTTCGGGCTGATTTCAGACAGACCTCTGGGGATCTCTGCCAGTTTCGTGCTCTGCCCAAGGCACAAGCAGTGAGATTCTGGGGAGAACAGCGCTGCTCTGAAGTCAGATCTCATGGAACCAGCCTCAGTTCTAGTCCTGGCAGGTAACGACAACACCGGGCAACAAACAATGGCCCCAATGCAGTTGGAGAGAGGAAGTCTCTGTCCCCAGGCAGGCGAGGCCCTTTCTGCACTAGGAGCAGAGTGTTTTACCATGGCCAGCGTTCCCCTGTGAACACGTGTGAAAACCGCAGGCTGCCCAGTCTTCACTGGGATTTCACCTTGGGCTAGCAAACCCGTGCTCAGAACATGCCTTCCTCCTGCACGTGGACACCGCTTTCCGGTGCACAGCCACAGAGAACTCACTGCTGCAGCTCGCTACCACCCTCATGAGCTCTACTCCCTCCCACCCACACAGGCAGCCCACTGCTCACCAGCACGAGCTGCAGGAACCAGCAGGGCTGGTTCAGCACCCCGCCCCCCCCCACACCAGCTCCCCGGCCCCAGCCTCCGGCACAGCCCACAAAACTGCCAATGCTACGGAGGTGCCCAGGGCTCCCTGCCCCTCTCCCCGAGCAGCCCCAGGGAGCTCCCGTCCCAGGGCAGCTGGTGCCTTGCAGCATGAAGTCTGGTGAGCGCTCCCCCTGCTCAAACAGGACCCGGTGCGAAGAAGAGCTCCTAGGATGATCGGGCGAAAGAGACTGGCCTGGCTTAGCCTAGCCAAAGACGGGCCGAGCAGGGATGGGACTGTTCTCTCCACATCCAGCTGGGCACTACACACCAGGGAGGGAGAAGAGCTGCTGACACTAAAGGTCAGTGCTGGCCCAAGAACAAAGAGAGATAAAGCAGCCACGAGGACACAGGCTAGCGCTGCGGAGTGAGGCTCTGGGACCCACTTAGCTCGCCTGCTCCGCTGCTTTGAAGACGGCTCTTGGCAAGTTTATGAACAGGATGACGTGAGGGGGCTGCCTGTGCTAGCAGGGACTGGCCACGATCACACCCCACCCCCCACCCCCGGAGCTCCTGCGATGCACCGAGCTCCACCCCGGCACACTCACTCCGCAGCACGCCCAGCACAGGCAGGTGGCAATGGCTGGCAGGAGCAGGGCACGCAGCCCCAGCCACGCCGACCCCACAGGCAGGAGGAGATGACCCCCCCAAACCCAACACTCCTAGTTACGTTCGGGTCGGGCTGCGCCACTGAGTGACCCCTACTGAGCTGGGGACCCCCTTCAATCCTGCGCAGCCGGAGGCTGAGCCCTCGTGGGGGATGGTCACGCCGCTGACTTCACTCCAGGAGCTCCCAACCCCCGCCCGGCCCAGCCCAGGGGGCCTTTGCCAAGTGGCAGCCTGCCGTCAGAGATGGCTCTGTGTCAGCCCCTCAGCCACCAGCCCTGAGTGAGCACACACCGCAGCACAGCGGCACAGACACCCAGGAAGCTGCCAAATCCATTGCCTCAGACAGTCTGCTCGTGCTCCAGGGCCCTGCTCCTCCAATGAGCAGCCAAGCTGGGAGGGCGTTCCTGCTCCAGCTGAACAAAACAGGAAGCTAGGGGCTGGCCGGCTCCTGCGCCAGGCTGTGTGCTCCAGCCCCCTCGGAGACAGACAGCATAAATCCCTCCCTCCACTGGGGCCAGACACGTAGGGGTAGAGGGGTCCCTGCCCACCAGCACCCCCATGGAGGCCAGGCAGGGCTGGACTGTCCCGCCCGGCTCCTCACAACACACAGCAGCTGCGAAGTGGCAGCCAGAGGAGAGTGCCAGGGAACCTGGGGAAAGGGTGAGGGGAGGGACAGGCCCCCTGCAAAGCAAGCTCAGCGAGGGACCTGCCTTCACACGGCCCTATCCCCAGCGCCCGCAGAGCGTGAGCAGGGCCAGCAGCTCTGCCCCTACGGGCCAGGCTAGGAGCTACAGGTGGGGCAGTTCTGGTGCCCGCCCTGGATACAGTCAGGGCTGAGACAGCGCAGCTATCGGGGGTGGGGGGTGGGGGTGGGGTAGAGAAGAGGTTTGCAGAGGAGGGACTCAGCCCCTCCCCGAACCGGGAACAACCCAGTGGAGTCCAACTAAAACAGAACTAAACCCAGCCGAGTCCCCGGCGCGGCCCCTCGCTGCCCCCAGGCCAGGAACCCAGCGGGGCTGCGCCCCATGGCTCTGCACGCTCCGAGCAGAAGGCTCACGCCTAAGCCATCTGCAGAGCCGCTGGGCGTAAAACATGCCAATGGCTGTCTCCTCCCGTCCTGAGGGGCTGGAGGAGCCGAGGCCCGTCGCTCCCCAGCATCCCAGCCCAGGGCTTGCAGCCTGGCCACTGCAGTCTCTGAGCCCCTCTTGGACAGGCGACAGCCACAGACACACTCTCTGCTGGTCAGAGACCCCAGAGATGCCCCTACACAGGATCGCTCTTGGCCAGCCCCACAGGACACACAGCCCCACAGCAGGCCTGGTTACTGCCCTGGCAGCATGAGGAGAACGCAGGTCTCCACCCACACCCAGCGGAGGTAACCGCACAGATGCGCAGCGCGTCTGAAACACTTGCCCAATATCCTGCAGCCTCCAGTGCCCCCTTTCTGAGTGTCTCCTCAGGACTCCCTCCCTCCAGAAGCAGCAGCCGAACGCCCCAGGCTCCTCAGGCTCTCCCCACAAGACGCATGCTGTCAGCAGGACAGCCGGGGGAGCTGCCCCAACGCACCGTACTGACCCTTAGAGAGAGAGCATGAGCCTTGTGATGGGCGTCAGCAGCCCGGACGCCATCCTGGCGAGCACGGCCCCTTTCTGCCTCGCCCACTGGGTAAGTGCGCAGGTAAGGGAGACACAAATGGGGGCTCAATCCAAGATGGTCACCTTTCTGAGAGCGCCTCCTACGAGCGGGAAGCGTTAGGAATCCCTGCCGTTTATCGGGGTCTCGTGGACAGGCCACCAACTCCACTAGCCCTGCCACCTTGCCACTGTTACTGTGAGCCAGCCTTCCCCGGCCTGGTGACAACTGGCCATCGTCATGCCAGCGCTGTCCCCCACCACAGGGAATGACGCGAGAACAGCCAAGCCAAGCCAACCCTTCCCATTGCAGGATTCCTCACAGCGCGTCGGCTTTCCCATGGCTAAGTGATCATCCTCGTCCCTCTCCGGAGAAAGCTCCGAAGGGCCAGAGAGAAGCTTGGCACTATTCTCAACAGGACACGGCAGATCCCAACCCTGACCCTCACAGATTATACAAGCCAGTGAGAGCAGCGAACAGGAAGGATGCAGCTGAGGGGCCTGGCTCTCTGCGGGAAACACTGTTGTTCACAGCTCAGCCTGTTTGGGGTGTCGAGGAACTTTGTCCACATAGCACTTGGACCTTCCTGTCACTCAGGGAAATGCAAGGAGAGGAGAATTTCCAGGAGCTGGTATTACCTGATACTGCATTGGTAAGACCATTACTGCAGCACTGTACCCAGCTCTGGGCTTCACATGCTTTGTACAGGAAGCTCAAAAACTGAAGAGGGTTCAGAGAAGAGAACAGGAATGACTCAAGGGCTGGAAACCCACCTTACAGTGAGAGACAGAAGGAGCTCAGTCTCCTTAGCTTAGAACAGAGAAGGTTAAGGGGTGACTTGATGACAGCTCAGTGCAGAGGATGGTTCTGAAAGCAGACAGCTCTTTAACCTAGCACACAAAGGCAGAACGTGCGCCAATGACCGGAAGCTACAGCTAGAAAAGTTCAGGTGGGAAGAAGGTGCACGTATTTACAGTTCAGGTAAACGACCATTGAATGGAGGGTTCCCTGTCACTTGGGGTCTGAGACTGGAGAAACCATCAGCTCCTGTTCGACCACACACTACTGGGCTCGAGGCAGGACCACTGGGTGGGGCCTGAGCCACGCAGGTCAGACTGGATACACCTCTACCCCGATAGAACGCGACACAATATAGCACGAATTCGGATAGAATGCGGTAAAGCAGCGCTCGGGGGGGCAGGGCTGTGCACTCCGGCGGATCAAAGCAAGTTCGATAGAACGCGGTTTCACCTATAACGCGGTAAGATTTTTTGGCTCCCGAGGACCGCGTTATATTGGGGTAGAGGTGTATCAGAAGGGCCCTGGCCAAGATTTTCAAGGGAACAAGGGCATGAAGCCAGGCTCCCAAGCCCAGATTGAGGAACCCAGCTCCGGGACCCCGCAGGTCCTCATTTCAGTTTTTCAATCTTGGCCTATGAATCTATGAAATCTGTTGCCTAGAGCTGGTAGGGGGAGTGCCCACGGGAGCCCCTGGGACCCCTGCCAATGGGGACTGATTCACGTATGCGGTTTTTAATAGTTTCCAGGGGAGATGGAGTCAGACGCAGCACCAGGTGCTACCTGCCCACAAGACGACAAGGATGGTCTCAGCCCAGCTCTCAAGGCCAGGTGCCCATGTCACAGTTACCACGGTGGCCAGAGCAACGTGGAAGTGACACTTTGCACCCAGCACGTCCCCCATTTAGATGGGACGCAAGCTCCAAGTGCTCCCAGCTTGCTGGGTGCACCCACAACAGAGACTGAGGCGCACAGTGCACATCCAGAAAGACCCTCTAGGGCAGGGGTCATGAAGTTTAAGGCTTGCAGGGACCACCAGGTCATCCGGTCTGACCTCCGGTATATCACAAACCGCCGCCACCACCCAGCACCCGCCTACTGAACACAACGACCAAACAGGAGACCAGACTATGACACGCCACAGGGAGTAAACAGGAGAGGCCGAGGTGCACAAACGTCTGTGTCCCAGTGGGCGTCAGCAGCTCTGGGGAAACTCCGATCTATAGAGGTAGGAGAAGCAGCCAACTGTCTTATTCCCCCAAAAGCCCTTAGAGCCCCGCAGCAATGCACGATGAGGACTCCAGTGCATGCTTCGGCCAGCACCCCAGCCCACCAGGAGCCAACAGACACAGGAAGAGAAGGTGGGAAGAGTTTCCCAGCCCACCAGGAGCCCAGGACAACAGCGCGGTTGGCTTGTTTTGAGCAAAGGAAAATCAGGCATAAAAGCCCTGAAGGCCCGGCCAGAGGGACCAAGAGGCAGGAAAGGCCAGGCTGGAGTCTGTGGCTGCAGCAGGGAAGAGCTGTGGGAACACAGCCGTGATCACTGAAGCAGCAGCGCTAGTGCAGGCTGGGGAGCTAGGCAGGGGATTTTGCCTGCCAAACCTTACCCACAATCCCACTGTCGCAGCCTGCGACACAGACAGAGCGGATCAAGGAGGGAGGGTGAGCCACAGCAGGGGCCCTGGGGTATGTGCAGTTCAGTCCCACAGGGAGAGTTACCCCCAGGAGAGGAACACACTGGCCCTTAGCACCATTGGCAACATGCACAAGGCCCACTACCAGCACGTGACCGCGAGGGCTAGGGGTCCGCTTCCAGTAGTCCTGCTGCACCCTGGCTTGGGAAGGGTCAGTACCTCTCTCCTCACCTTGTCCCTTGCCCACTGCAGCCCTAGCTGGGGGGCATTCAGAGATTCTTAGACTCCAAGGCCAGAAGGGACCATTGTGATCAGCTAAGGCCTCAGCTGGATGGTGTCCAGGTCTGGGCGCCACATTTCAGGAAAGAGGTGGTCAAATTGGAGAAAGTCCAGAGAAGAGCAACAAAACCAATTAAGGTTTGGCAAACATGCCCTGTGAGGGCAGATTGAAAACCCTGGGTTTGTTCAGTCTGCAGAAGAGAAGACTGAGGGGGGACATGGTAACAGTTTTCAAATACTCCAAAGGTTGTTATAAAGAGGAGGGGGATCAATTGTTCTCCTTAACCACTGAGAGCAGGACAAGGAGCAAAGGGCTTACATAGCAGCCAGGGCGGGTTAGGTTGGACATTACGAAACACTGCCTAGCGGTCAGGGTGGTTAAGCACGGGAACAAATTGCCTAGTCACCATCATTATCTAATCTGTTCTTAAAAACCTCCCAACACCTGTCAGGGATGGTCTAGCCCAGCGATACTCAGACCGGGGCTCAAGTGGCTCTTTAATCGGTCTCCTGTGGCTCTTTCCAGCAGGATATTAAAACCCTGTTGTTACCTGTCAGCTCTGTGTTCTTGGGGAACCGGGGCGCAGTATCCAGCCTGCCTGATTCACGAAGGACACCACCCCCCACCCCAAGCCTCTGCTTGAACCCAAACTGATCAGAAGACTTTAAAAAAGCAATGAAAAGGCCGTGGGAGACCCACTAAACCCCTCCGGACAAGGGTGACAGGATTACGGCAACTCCCCTAGCCTCATTTGTATGGAAGATGGGACAGGGAGGCATCTCCATCAGCATACAGAATGGAGAACAGAGATTCCCAGGCAAGAACCGCACTGAACTCTGGGACCAGAGAAGCAGGGCAGCACTGCATGATGGGGGATCTCTGCTCCAGATGTTAATGAACCTACGCCTGCACACCCAGCTCAGCAGTTATCAGACCAATTCTAGTAATAAATCCTTTATTGGGATCTAAAATAGTGAAGCTGCCTACTTGCATTGTGAGCTCCTTGGAAGAAACACTGCCCATAGCCAGGAATGAGCAGTTCCTATTGTCTAGCCTGAACAAAACAACTTTGGTATACTCCCTTGAGCCATCAGTTCACCCATACACAAATCTAGTGTTCTCCCTTGAACCATTGTTCTTTCCCTACAAAAACCCCTACCCACGCTCAAGTAAGTGCTCTGATGCCTGGATCCAAAATCTGCATCAGTTCCACTGGGACTTCATCTTCTCCTGACTGATCATGCTGGGGGCTCTGCCTGACTCCTGCATTCAGGACCCTGAGCTACCACCACCACCTGGGACCCCCGATCGATTCAAGCTTCACGGAGTGGTGAGAACCCATCTCTCTCTCTCTCAGTATAGCCTTCTGACCCTGACTTGGGTGATCAGTGATAGTTTTCTAAACTTGACTTCTATAATCAAATGTAAGTTAGATTTAATATTATCACTGTTTTGTTTGTTTGGCTCCCCTTGTATGGTTACTACCTGGCAATAAACCACTTTCATGGTTAAGCTGGTTGCTCCCTCCCTTTCCCCCTCCCCCCACCCCACATGGGTGTTTTTTGGCTTCCCCATTCGCTCTGCAGCAACGCTCCTCGTACCTAAGCTAAAGATCCCTGCAGCACCCAAAAATTCTGTGGGGTTTGCTCATCAAGTGGGTTACGACCAGAACAACTGTAACGTGAAAGTGGGAATAGGGACATGCCGAACCTGGGCCATATGAGGGTGGCAGTTTGGAAGTGCTGCTCGACCCAGTCTGCTGAGTCCAGGGGCATATAAGGGGTCAGCTTGGGTGTGCTGACTAACCCGGTCCTCTCAGACGCGCTCTGCTAACGTGTATGTGTGTTCGTCTGATTCTGGGGCTGGAGGAACCCAGCCCTGGGGAACCGAGGTCCTGCAAGATAGCTCCATTGGGAGGGGACTTGCAGCAGGGAGAAATAAAGCTCCGTATGAGAACACAAGTGACACAAGCAGTACATTGATAGAATTACAGAAAAAAACACCCATGCACACACAGAAGAGTAACCCTAATAAATGAGCGTAACCCCACGGGCAAAACTGGTAACACTGTATGATTTAATTATTAACCCATCTAAGTCATTAACCAACCAGGGTGCTTTATTAACCAATTGTAGCTGATAAAATAATAATATTTGGTCAGTCATTTTGCTGCGAGAACATATTATAATATATACACGCACACAAAATATTTCCCCGTCATAGAATCATAGAATCTCAGGGTTGGAAGGGACCTCAGGAGGTCATCTAGTCCAACCCCCTGCTCAAAGCAGGACCAATCCCCAACTAAATCATCCCAGCCA